CCACTCAAGTCCTTGAGCGATTTTAAATTGGAAAAGCGAAAAATAATGATCAATTACTTTGTCCCTGAAATTAGCCATTTTATAGTACATGGCGAAATAATAATTCCTGCAATATCGTTACTCGTTATTAATGATACGAGGTATCTGTAAAAAAAATCCATAAAAAACTGTATATCTGAGCACCTAGTAAATAATCTTTGACTGTTAACCAAAAGAAGAAGCCTAGGAATTTATAGCCCCAATTAAATAGTCCAGAAGTTATTGAATCGAATGAACTATTAAAGAACAGGTTTAGAAGAATGGAAAATGGAGTCTTGAGAAGTATAAGGGGTATATTGGAGCTGTAAAGTTTGGGCTAAACACTGAGATATGAAACGTTTTCCCCGGGAGCATATTCTCGTACCTGATAATTATCCTTAGGTGGATTGTAACCGTGGTATCTGCCTACGCAGGGATATGCAGCATTATAGTGCACTCGGAGTCAGTCTGGTGTTACCAAGACTCAAGTCTATACATACCTACATACCTGGTACCGGATAATAGCTACAAGCACTCAGCCATGCACCCATACACATGCCGTAAAGCTCAAAGTTAATAACGAGCATGAATCGGTACAGGTACCAGGCGAATAACGTACACTATATGCACGCATGTACGAAAACCATAAACGATGGAAGACAGTCATTAGTTATATACACTTGGTGAGAACATCTATAGATTATATATAAGCTCGGTGAAACAGGTAGGCTCGGTTATATACCGCTGCAACTAGAGATCCCTCATTCCGGGTACTTTGAAAATTTTATATTATTCGGTGTGTCGTCACGCACGTTTCTTCTTTGTAGGACACGGCTCATTTAATACGTCACTTACACTTTGGTTTAGTACATCATTGGCACGCTACAGAGACAAATGGATTGCCAAGTCATGCTAATGGCTCTTGTCTTCATACTTACAGCCTTTTTTCTCCATTTTTTTTTTTCTTCTTCTTCAATATAATAACCAGCAAAGTTATTTTTCCAAGGGGAATAAATGCATATTTTAGTAGACCAGTGTATGTGGTGCGCTGTGCGCTGTGCGCTGTATAAGTATCACCAGCATCATCATGTCGATGATTTATATCTTTAAAATTGAATCTTTTCATCAAGCAACGGTTAATTCCACGTGTATGCGCTTTGCAGATGATGGCAAGACCCTCAGGACCCGCGTTAATGCAAAAATTTAAAACTGGCAAATTGCTACTGCATTGTATATTGTGTCGAATTTTTCTTACATACGCACAAATTTTTAATGAAATTTTTCTGCCAATTAGATAATTCCTGATGAGGTGGAAGAGGAAGATTTTTTTTTTTTCACCTTTTCATATATAGTCAACGGCTCTTCGAGGTCAGTGAGGACAACGGCATCACAATGAGAGGGATAATCACGTTGTTCGAAGGCCAACAGTGTACATTGCACGTTCACATTTTTTGCTCCAGTAATATTTGATCCGTGTATTCTAGACGTCGTAAACCCCATTGGGGAGAGTTGGAAGGTCAACCAAAGAATATATTTCTCTTTACATTTCGTCGGAAAATGTACTTGTAGGGATTTTTCTTGGCTTGCTGTAAAATGCTCTATTCCGAGAAAAATTGCTACACGAAGTCCAACGTTCACGATTAATTTTAATGAATTTTCTCATCCGCAGTGATAGTTTGCATTTTTAAAGATTCAGGTTGCGATGATTTGAACGCCTGGAATAAATTTTAGTGTCTCCATATTTTCTTGAGGAATAACAATACGATTTTTTGGAATTGGGGGAGTTCTGGGCGATGGCTAGTTGACTGGGAACATCAAGTATCAACAATATTGCCCTCTGGGGCTCGTCGTTTTTTTTTTCCCCCTCCAATTTTTTGGTCTTTTTTGCGACAGCCGAAAATAAGAGGGAATAAAAATCGAAATCGTATGGCGTTGGGTCCCGCCGACACGGTGAGAATCTCAGGCCGAAGTCTTTCCACCGTACACTCGGCTTGGAGGAATTCAAAATGGCTGATGTCGACCCGGTTGTACAGCGGTGTGTGCGCGGTTCTCTTGTGGTGTCTCGTAACTTATACGAGTTAGAGTCGACACTCCATGTACCAAGCGGAATACACGTATTTTTCTTTTTACTTATTTCGCTCTTTTTTTCAACTCTTTTTTATTCGTATGGGTGGATGGAGGCTCGTGTATAAAGGCCGCCAACAACGGGGACGCGTATTTTACTCGGCAAAATGGCTATACATGCATATGTATCCGAGTTACAGGAGAGGCTATACACTCGCACCAATCGTCTCGACACCGACATCTTATCGGTTTCCCTCTCCTCCCGCACCAGCCAACCTCCATCCACCATCCACCATCCTCCATCCTCCAGCCAACTATACTTTTGGCTCCTCTGCTCCATTCCCTCTTTTTAATGCTGTATTCCTTCAGAGTTCCTTCTTCCACTCATCCACTAATAAATTATCCATAATTCTACATTTATCAATTGTATTTGCGCATTCCAGTTGTTTCCTTATCGCTATTAATTTATTGTCATTATTCATCCTTAATGGAATGAGATAGGAAGTGGATGAGCATTACGTTCGAGGAGACGCAAAAAGCCAAATGAATTCTTGTTGAGAATCGATAAAATGGAAATATATCTTGCGGTTAAATGTTGTGTTTGAAAAATGGAGAGAGGATTGGGTTGGGCTGGATCTCTCAAATCACGAATCCCACTGGTGATCACCATTTAGGGATTATGAGAGATGCGCGCCATCGATATCCGACGGCGGCCATTCCGGTTCTACCTCTCAACAGTATCTATTCACTATTTTTTTTCCCTCGAATATCGCTTTGTCACAAATTCCTAAAGTCCTTATCTTAATTGAATTCCCTGTCAAATCATTTGAATTGGAAAATTGTAATGGGACCCTAATGGACCCACCGCATTTTCTCGTTTGAGGGAAAACTTTGAGAGGGCCCCGGGAGATATCGATAGATAAACGATAAAATGTTCTCCTCCCCAATTTCTCGAAGGCGTCTCAGCAGAACCAGTTGGACCCTCTCCATTGGCTCATATTGTCTAGCATTTGTCGGTCAAAAATCATTCGAGATCATTTCAGATAATTATTTAAATTTATCGAGCGTAATGATGGAAATTTTTTATAGTCAAATTGAAAATATTGTTGCTGTGAGGATGGGATCTTTATCCTCGGCTCTCCTCTTAATTTTTTTCCGCCATGCTGCACCAACTCCCTTTCACCGTCTCGTCCGTGCCATTCCCCACCATTTCCATAAATTCTCAATTTTATTTAGTCCAACGCCTCAGCCTCTATATAACCCCCTTCTCACACGCTGCTGATATTATCCTAGTCTCTCGGATCCAACCCGGTGCCGTATACAAAAATACACAGCATCCCGGAGACCGAGAGAGGAGCCACATATGCAAACCCACTGCATAACACATGTGTTGGTTGTACCATAAATATGAACCAGATTGGTTATGTGGGAGTGGGGATCTTCATTTTTCTCTCGTGAAGAAAAAATAAAAAATAAAGGCACATGTGTGAACGTAAAAATGCACTAGGAATTATTTCACGAAAACCTAGAACAAGTAGATAAATATTTTTTAATGAGAATTGCGTGAGAGAAATAGGAGAAGGAGGGGAAGGAGGGGAAAGAGAAAAGATTGGAATTATTTGAGCCTTTGTATATACCCTTTTTTTTTATTGCAGCATTAGCATAGCAAACCCTAGGGTATCGTATGCTCGTCCTCTGGATGCGAATGCATATCGGGAGGGACGAGGGGAATTGATGCGGATATATTCGAGGTACAAGGCGAAAGGGCCCGTTTCCGAGATAATCAGTATTGCTGTGGGGTAATTTAGATACTGGGATTTACCCAAAGGATTATGTGTATTTTACTTCATGCTTGGGTGAATCGGAGATTTCGTTGATGGTGGATTTGTGGCCGAGTAGGCGGTAACTTTGGATCAAGTTCTCCGGGAATACCTTGAGATCATTTTTACGTGGCTCTTAAAATATATCTTTTCAATCTTTTCATATAAACATATATTTTTTCCATTTGAACGTGAATACTTGAGGAGTTGGAAGGGAGATGTAAAATTATGGGAGAATAACGAGGATTGGTGCGAAAGAAAATTTGATAAAGTGGAAAAATTATTTCCCGATGGAGAAAGTGTGTGGTGATGGCAGTAACGAAATAATGTTCAAAGTCGATGGGTTGGTGGCGAGCACGGTTGCCTCATAAAATGGAGACCAAACGAACTCACTTGGCCGTTGATAGTCGGGTTGGTGGCATGGCTATGGTGCACGCGTGCCTCAGCCATATTTTCTTTTGTCTCTTATTTGCCAGGACCCAACCAATTGTCCCACACTACTCAGACTAATGAGCTCTACACTAGAAATCACCGACTCGGATCGTTTAGTCGTATTTGCCAAAGGACACTGGCGAAATTAAAATTATACGCTTCCCTCGATTAACCTAATCCATTTCTCCAAATTCCGGGATTTTTTCATTTCCACCGCCATTTCTTGTAATCAACTTGTCTCAATGCTTATCCCCCACACAAGAAATTGCATTTGAATATTTTTTCCAACTATTTTTATCTGAAGCATTTGGCGCTAACGATTGGCGAGTAGATATGGAATCTTTTCCGTGGAAATCTCTCTGTTCACGAAATAGAATATAATGCCTGGCTGAGAGGGTAACGCGCATGTGCATACAGACGCATTTCCGATAAATGTGGGAGTCATAAAAAAAAATGGCAAGTATAAAAATTTCTTGAAGAACTTACCTTGCGGCTGTGAGGGTGTCCCAGAGGTCGCTGTGATTGGAGGATCGGTGAATCGCGTCGTCCTCGCCGATGACGACGATGGCGAACACGCAGACGGTAGCAACAATTATCCAGCTCCAATTTTTCCTTTAAATTCCAGTGAATGGCGGAAATTGTTATCGAGGATAGGCTAGTCCATACCCGGCGACTCTTTAACAATCGCTGAAACACCAAAATATAGGATTGGCACTGAGTAATGACTGAATAATTAACACCAGTCCTTCAACTTATATACGTACCAACATGAGTTCAAGCGCAGGATGTAATATATAATAAACATTTGGCAACGACAGTTGATAATTCAAGAGAGGGAGAGAAAAGGCAGGAAGATTCAATAGTTCTTGTTGTGCGCATAAAAGTCAGCGGTGAAAATAACGGGGGAAAAATGAAAAAATAATCAACTGGACAAGGCTTAACTCCAGATCACGCCTACGTATCGGATCGATAACCGAGGGAGTCGTATGAGGTTATATGGCCTCTATCCTCATCAGTGTTGATATCGAATCGTTGACAAAACAACCGATCCTGGCTAACGTAAAAGCCACTTTCCGGCGACCTTAATGCATTCAAGGATATAGTCTCACTATCGACATAACTCGTATTGATCATCGTCATAAATAAAGAATTCTAATCTATCGTAAAAATCCATTGAAACAAGTATGCACATCGTCATTGCCTCGTCGGCAGTCTCGTTGGTGGCGCACAACCACCGCATCGGGCAATATAAACGAATAAGAGACGAGCCAGGGTTGTAAATTGCCGTGTCCTTGGTGAATCCAGCTGGATAATGGTGGGCAATCCTATGCTGGAGTTGGTGACATATCCGAAGGACAATTTTATTCAACTCCACTCACGGTCTGCCGATGGTTGCGCACCAATCTGGCGCTGCCGTCGCCTTCGATTATAGATCCTTTATTTTTATTATTTCTTTTTATCCTTCGTTGATTCACCCACAGTGTCCACTTGTAACGGTAACACACCAACCAAAATCACTCTCAATCGACTCTTTAAAAAAATTATTCGACTGTTATAAAATATATATTTTGGTGAATTGTTGGAGGGAATTAGAGTTGATGAAGACGACTGCTCTCTTTACAAACTACGATCACGCACTACGGTCTCACACTCGCAAACCGAAATACACATCTGGGGGGAGGACGAGGAAAACGACTATACACGAAGGAGAGAAACCGTCGGCTGCCAAAGCTTGGCAGGCGCTACTAACTCGCGGCCTCGTGGCTGTTTGGTTTAAGGTACAGGCCGCGCGCGGCAAAATGTTAAAGCGAGACCAGCTAAACCTCCATCATATGAGTAAGAAAGAGAAAGGATTATTGAAAATGGCTGGGTCCCGTGGTAACTCGGGGAATTACTATGCTGGAAACTATACGGTGGAGAGACGGGAGGTGAAACCCGCCTCGATTCGCTTCTCCGAGGCACGAAGAGGCCAGACCAATGCCGGTCAGCCAACTCACTTCATGCTGGTGTGCTGTTGGCGTGCTGTTGGCGTCCTGTTGGCGTCCTGTTGGCATGCTCATGGCGTTGGTGGAATACCTCATACACATAACACACTATACGTGCCTTTTTCTTGTATTATATTACTCTCTCCGTTTTTCTCTTCGAGCCATTATGTATTTCAAGGGTTCTCAGGCCAGCCCAACACTCCACCGCTCCATCGCTCCATCGCTCCATCGCTCCAATCAGCCAAGTATCTTAATTGTTTATCTACCTCACTCCAAAATCTTTGATTCCACGATTTCACGTTGTACATCACCAGCTGCCTCCTCAATTCAATCCATCTTCTATTGCATTGAAATTTACTTATCAAACGGGAGCCATAAATGCGTGTGATAGTGAGAAGTAGTAGGGATTTAATATGGGGAAACGAGATCTAGGAGTATGACAGATTCAGGGAAAAATGCCAACGCACTCGGATATATTCAACTGGGGCTATATATCAGATAGAATTTACGCCCTTAGAAGAAGGCGGTGAAACCTTGGCCCACGATAAAACAAAATCCCTCTCCTATTCCTCGTCAGAGAATATAAAAGAAAATCAAATGCGCCATGATTTTTGAGGAGTTGGCGAATCGAAATAATTCTTCTAGTATTATTAAGAAATGTTGAGGTTGGAATTATAGAGAAGTTTGACGAGAAAAAAATTGTGAAAGAATTGTAGTCAATGGAGGTCATTGTGCAGAAAAACGAGCGGTTGGAATGGGCACTCCTGAGGAAAATGGCCGATTGAGTCACTAAAGTCGAAGCCAATTGGTTTTCAGTATTTCATTTGATGATAACCCTGGGAGACTTTTTTTTCTCACTCTCTTCTCCACTTTTATTTTACTGCAGATTCATTCTCATCATCAGCTCCATCGCACTGTGCACGGACATCTCCTGGATCTCCTGGAAACGTTTATCCTGGCTCCAAACCTCTCAACACTTTCGATTGGTGATGGCATTGGAGTTCTCACGAGATTTACGGTCACGATTTTCTACTTGATGGGATTTTCCATTTTTAACATTTCTCCATTATTAGTGACCTGAAAAGCTGCTTATGCTTATGCTTTTTACAACTCACAACCTCATCATACAACAGCCACGCAATATATCAGTCTTTTTAGCGGTGGGGGTTTAAACGGAAGTCAAGACACATTAAGAAAAACCCAATGAATCTAATATATCACAGGGGAGAGTAATACAGAGTCAAAATACCTTTTGTCAAAATAACCTTGAGAGAATTCATCCATCCATTGACAGTTGGGGGGAGGAGCCATGGCCAAAAAAAAAAAAAAAATTATCTCACCAATACCTCAGAGCTTGATACAAAGTTGAAAAAATTTTAATCCATGAATTATCCCCACAGTCTCAATCGCCAAACCATCATCAAAACGTATCATCAATTTAATAACAAAAACTCGTAAATTTATTTGAGTTGAGATTGAGTCGGAGGCCTTTAGGATTAATATCTAATACATACTCTACGTCTCGCATCTTAATATCCCAGTGTCAGCAATGAATCATCCTCGTACAATTTATACACTATGATAGATATGATTGCCAATATTTACGACCTCTACCCCAATACAAATATCCGTCGCCGTCAATCCCGACCACAAACCAAGAAACCCCAAATCCCATCTCTTCATCAGGAGGATTATCATTCCAGATGCTGGCATTTTTACCCAATGAAATTCACGAGAATAAGCCAACACAGCCTCAAGTTATCTAGATCTATCGTAAGCCGTAAGCGCTCATCCTGGAATTCCTCGGCGAAGGCTTCGATGCGGGGATTCAAGCCGTTAATTTGGCCGATTGAGTTGGCCCATAAGACCACCCTATATGTATTCCCCCTCTCCCAACGATTTGATCCGACCCACGTATCCAGGGACCGATGTCTTAATTGGCTACAGCGTTTGGCTCTTGCCTCGAGCTCGATTTCATCATGGCGGCGATGGAATTTCGCTCACATTCTTCCCAGCCCTCATCATCAAAATACATTTTTCTTGTTAAATGCATTGTATGTATGTATGTATGTAGATAGAGATACTGGAATATAGATGTAGGCGTGTATGACAGGTTTGATACCCTTTTGAAATTTTGACAACAGTCCAATTGGTTATCCAATATGGATTGAGGTCGCAACCATCGATTTCCCTGGGACACGATGGAACGACGATGTGGGGAGATTGTGCAGACGATTATACGCGCGAATAGCAAAACCCGTGGTTTACGTTTATTACTCTGTAGTGGGTCTAATAGCGCTGGTGGCAACGGTGCACCATGGATGGCAAAGAGGGCTCATTCGTATACTGTCGCCCTGAATTTGTGAAATATATGGGGTGGCCATGGGGTTGCTTTTCGGGGACAACAACGCAGCTGACAAAATCTACCCCATGTCCATTTTCCTTAAAATTCAACTCTTTAGCTTATTCCCCACTCCGCGGTACGGTGTTATGTTTTAAGTTGTGTTCTCGCTACTCTCCTTCCTCATCTTTTCTGTGTCCGTGCGTCCAACTGAAGATGGATGGAAGCCCATAACATTAAAGGCGGGGGAGAACATAAGAGCTCATAAATGCGAATTTAAGAGGCGCAATAAAGGCACGTTGAAATCGAGAGTGAACGAGCGCACGAGGCAAAAGACCTGGGTATATATGGGTACGCGTGCCGGTTTCTCAGCGAACCCAGCATTTTCACGCTTCCTCGTTAATGTCATCCGGGTTACCTCCGGAACCGGCAACAATTTCGGCAACTACAACCCTCTTCATCAACCCTCATCCGACATTCTAGATTAATCATCAATCTATGACCTCTCACTTCCTCTCACCTCTCACCTTGGATTCGCCAGAACAAACCAATATTTAATATTTTTTTTTCCAAAATTATTGAGTTTTTGAAATATTATTGAAAAATTCTATTATGCTTCCCTCAATTTCAGAACAGCTTTCCCTTTTTGAAGGCTACTTAGGGTACAAAAAAAAATGACCCTCCCTGTGATGTTTACACCAAGGGTAACGAGATATTTATCCTTGAAATTTGTCACGATGCCATCTCTCAGTTTTATGGATACTCCAGTTTCTCACCTTGATGCGTTGACGATTTATTGGTCGTGAAAAATGCTTAAACAGATGTTGACTATTTTTTCCCCTCAAAATTCCTACAATTACAGATGCATCAGGGAATGGAGAAAATTCCCAGTGTTTTTCACCAGTCGTTAAATTAGTTTGTCCAGCGGAAAATTCATGAGTGAGGGTGGTAACAATATATATTTTAGGGCCCCTGTGGATATATGGTATATAGTTTTGAAAGCGAGGAACCCTGCGCGCTCCTCCGGGGAAGTTACGGTATCGACCGCAGGCACCGACAGCCTCCTTTCCAAATTACCCACTAATCCTCAACTTTCTCAGCTTAGAACACCGTTGGCTCGATCGACTGGTAGCTCAATACCACTCTGTACAGCCCATCTCCACCCACTCCAGAACGAAAAACTTATCGCCGGAAAACAAAAGGCCAAGTTGTGTCTCCGAAGAGTCGATACTCTCGCCGGGGGACCAATCCACAACTTATTTTACAGCTCTAGGAATCATCGTGAAGGATATTCTCGTGGGATCTCTTCTTTTTTTTTTACCCCCACGGGGAAAACAGTTATATTCGTTAGAGAAAGAAAATAAAAGGGATTAAAACGTCGCGATAAAAGACGGAATTAATTTGCTTGCAGAGAAAAACAAAAAAAGGGGCGGGCGGGGCAATTCGCGGAAAGGAGAAAAATTCAGGTAATACATATAGCGAGAATTTTTTTTTTTCGCTCTCTCATTCGGAAATTTTTCAAGTGATGGCATTTTTTTTTTCCGCTGTGGATACAATTGTACTCCAGCTACTGGACGAGAATATATAGGTAACGACACAGTACGACGAGTTTATGGTCTACTCAGAGTTATATCGCCTATACATATATACATGTACATATATATATATATATATATATTGGTTGACAATTCGTTGCTAATGCGTGCTCCATTAGTTTGGATTGGCAGTAGAGGACTTGTGACACCAATCGCCTGTGGACTAAAATAGTGACTGGACAAATTTCAATCGAAAGCTTAAATGACTGAAAGGCTTGCATGTCAAATGGCAAGAGAGTTGAAGTGAAATTCCTGGAAATGGATATCCGAGGTCGTTGTTGACCATCTAACGCACGCAAAAGGTTTTGCAAAACAACCAGACAGAGAGATTGTAGAGTCGGGTATAACGGCCTCATGGATTCTCGGATATCTCCGTGGAAAAGGAGTGCACTTAGCGAAAGAAGCGAGCCATCTAATGGATGTGAATATATCGTGGCAATAAATTTAGCAAAAAGCTGCACAAGGAAATAAGAAGGGTGGGGTTTTTTGCAGAAACGTGAGAAAGGCGGAAAGACCGTGTGCTCGAGGTACTGGATATAGGGGGAAAAAAAAGCAACAGCGACAGAGGGAAAAAAAGGAAAATGAATGAAAAAGGGAGAAAAAAGGAGAAAAATAAAGATGGAAACGAAAAAAAAAAAGGTATGGACGATTCACCCGTTCTCTCGGACCGGTTTTCAAGAAACGTCCAGGGGTGAGTGCAAGAGGCGAGGAAAAGGGGGAAAAAAATGAAGGGAGGTGAAAAAAAAAGGAGAAAAAAGGGAAAGAGAGAGAGAGAGAGAGAGAAAGAGAGAAAGAGGGCAGAGAGCAGAAAAGCCCTGTGTGAGAGTCGTCACGTTTCCGGTACGTGTTTGGCGGCCATCTTGGAATGAAAGAGACCAATGGGAGGCGAGAAACTGGTAACCCCGTAGCGGCACCGGTTCCACCCCCTAAGTCCCGGCTGGATCAATACCACGAGAGCAACCCTCGGCCGCACCCTCCCTTAACCTATCAAGCTATCTGCAACCCCTGGGCAAAGGCTAAGGTAAAGGCAAAGGCAATGGGCATAGGCAAAGGGTGAGCGGGATAAGCGTGCCAGAAATTTCGATGGCTCGTCGTCCGATGTGATACCGAAATCCTCGAGCCATTGCTCGTTCCTTTTTTTTTTTTCTTCCCTTTTTCATTTCCACTTTACGGCGAATCCTATCTGCCAGTTGAGGGAGAACTCCCAGTGCAACTCGATCCAAGAGGATCATCATTATTCATTGAAGTCATGAGTACCTATCCTGCATTCATCCTAGCAGCTCCTTGAGAATCGGAAATGTAAGCTCTACGGAAATCGAATTCAACGGGATATATCTTCGGTGAATTTAAATATCAAGCGACAGAATGAAGGGCCGCGTTTGGCGCATTAAACAATGGCTACCCGTAGAAAATACCTTCTAGTTCCCATGGCATTTTGACTCCTAAAAGACAGAAACTTTGACTAACATCGTAAAATCCAAAGTCCATAGTTTCTATACTTTGGCATGGAGAATTCGATAATACGTGCTTGTGAAACTTGAACCATTAACCCAAGGTCCCTGGTGGAGGACTTGGGGATTCTCCTATAGAAACTATATTCAAGGATATGGAAGTTTGAGGAGTTGATAAAACTCCATGACTGGCTGATGATTTTGCCGAGGGGAAGGGGAGATGAAGGAAGAAAATCTGGGGAAGAAAGAAGAAGCTGAGGAGAGCCTCCGAGAGAATAACACCAAAGGAGGGAATGTAGCAGCCGCATATGGGAACCGCTCTTTGATTATCCGCTGGTTCGTATAATAACATGTTCATAAAGACGTCGAGTTGCGCATGTGCACTCTTAAGCTGTGCACATGCATCTCTCCTCTCGCTCATACCCATTACAATAATATCGGAATTTACATACTCACAAAGATGGACGGAAGGAAAAAGGCTGACTGTCGAGAGAGATGTCCTCTATTTATGTATATCTCAACGCCGACGCCATATACCCTCCGTGGCGGCCATTTCCGTTACCGAGCTGTTGCCCTCGAATAAATTCCGACATATATATGTGCATTTGGCGAGGCTAGGTATCTTACAGCCAAGTTTCTCTACATGGCGCAAGACATATAAGAAAGCCCGCATATACCGAGAAGGAACCCGAAAGACGTCTTATTTGAAACAATGTTTCCTCCTCGCTTCACTCGCGGACCGACCGTAAATTCTCATTTCGAATCCCCAAGACTCGTATAAAATACCGACGAGACCCCTGTCGTGGGAGGGAGAACGAAACTTGTTTCTCTCCTCCTCCTCCTCCTCCTCCACCTCCTCCTCCTCAAACCCCATCTCGACCCGCGTCTTTTCTCCGGGATTAGGGGGAAATACGAGCCTTCATATATCGATGTTCTAAGCCTATGACCGCACCTCCTCTACAGGGAAAGGGTTACCCAGCAAAATATTTTAATCGATTAAAACTGTACAACGATTATTGCCACCAGTGAAAAATACCCTCAAATACTGTACTAATTTTCACTGGGTATAAATTCATCCAGAATTCCTCGAGAATTATGACATTTTAAAAGTGCCATTATTTCTTGGCGAGCTAATGTCGCGTCGCATCAGATAGAAAGTTCAATAATTCATGGATTTTAATGGGCAGCCTAAGAAAATGGCCTCGGGTGCGAAATGTGGCAACTCTTGGTGAGAAGATATAGATTGAAGAAAATAATAAACCGAGTGAAAAGCCGGGGACAATTAGGCGATTATCGGTTGATTGGTCAAGGGGAAAAATAAAAAGTGTTTAGTTAGAGTGGAAAGTATGTAGTGTACGAATAAAAGGACGAATTTGCTCGTATGTCGTGATCTCAGAGGGCAATAAATCAGAAAGCGGGAGTCCGCGACACGCGAGTCGTAATATTTAAGTTAATGGCTTGGTATAATAAAGTTAATGGCTTTATGATAGCCATTGGTGGGGCAAGAGGATGGGCATGACGCGCTCGTGCACTTGACTGGGCCCTCTCTTTGGTTCCTCAATCTCTTGTGTTTCATTTGGTACTCAAGTGCGTGGAGAACACAAGAGGAGGACATGTCTTGAAATGTGAGGATCACTGCACTTCCGACGCTACCAAGTGGACATTACTCTTTAACACCTCCTTCACCACTCACCGCCAATCCTTTAATAAATTTCACCAATTTATGAAATAATATTTGAATACCTATTTGACGTGTTTATTTAGGATGTTTGCACACCGTTACGAGGAGATGTCGTCAGATGAGAGTTTACGATTAATAACAAGATGGAATCCGGAGGAATATAACACTGAGAAACGGATAACCCACCGCTTTAATAAGAATGCTGGGTAAACGTATATTACTGCTCTTTAAATGAGCCACACTTTTCACAGCTACTTAACGCACGTCCAATAAACATGAAATATCACGACAATAAAACAATCTGCGCGGTAAAATAAGGAGGAGTGGAGTGAAAAACGAGAGAGAATGAAAAATACGTTGTGAGTTTTTACAAAAAAGAAAAAAAAAAAAACAACACCAGTACCCAATATCTATTTATCTCAATATTGCTCGCGAGCTAATATCGCAATCAAAACAATTGCTCCAAATGTGTCTCTTGAGTATTATTTCTACTTTTATTTCAATGCACCTATACAGTCGCGCTAAAGTGATAAATGACGAATTTCATATCCACTAAATGTCCAAGTTACTCTTGAAAATGAAAATTGCTCAACAAATAGCTGGTATAAATTTTTCACTTCTTTCTCTTTACAGCGGTCTTTCGTTTCACTCACCTCAAACACTTTGCGATCACGATTGTGAGAAAACTCCCAATGACCGGCTTTTCCGCATGAATTATTCTGAAACAAATAGAAATAGATCGTTGAGCTTTCTCATGTTTTTATTCTTTAAATCTTCATGGCGTAAATCTGCATTTTTATGAGTGAATTTATTATACTTCATTGAACAACCCATCGGCAATATTAGTCTTCAGTCACTGACACGCCCTAGTTCAACCATTTTTTCCCCCATTATTATTATACTATTATTTTACCGCAAGTGCGCTAATAATAACTATTTATATGTGAAGAAAAAAGGTCGAGTTTCATTGGTGAACATGAGGATGATAAAGAGACTGACAAGAAAGCTCCTGTACAATTGTTCGGGTCATGTTATGAGGGATTGGACTTGGGGTCATTGTAATTTGCTCTACATTGTTTGGAGTAATTTAGTATTCCCTTCGAAAGATAGTCTCTATATTCATATTGCGGTAAGCGCGTTTATTAGAGAGACAATGGCTCTCGGGGCTACTCAATGAGCAACACCTCGTAAACCGCGCTCCGTCAACCGCTACCTGCATGCAACCTCCACAACCAAGTCGAGCTTCTCGTCTTGCCTTCTCCAAGCCACTTGTTTTCTACACCTTCTCTACTTTCCATCAACTATTACTTCTCATCCCACCAACTCAATTTATTGTTTAGTTCCTTATTTTTACTTGTACTAATTGAATATACCTTCCAGGAAGTACAATTAACCAGAAAATTGAGAGATTCTGACTAATTAGTGTGAGTTAGGGTTAGAAGATGATTGGTGCTACCGTTCCAAGGGATTTTTATACACTTTTCATCCTCTACAACCGCATCAGCGTTGACAATACCTTGTGTATAGTACAATTATTCCAGTGCACTTATCAGCTACATAAATAATTATCAATATTTCGAATTATTATTAACTTGTTTAACGTGACTTTGCCAGATGATGCTTGGCGACTGCCGACAGCCAACATTCGGTCCGCGGATATTCGAAAAATTTGCCTAATAATTCATGAAGCTACCCTTCATTTTGCCGGCATATTTGCCGTTCATGCAACACGGGCTTTCTCATTCTTCGTGTATTTTCTTGGAATTTTGCTCACCTTGTGCATTCAACATCACGCGAGCGTGCAGTTGCGCGGGTACCACCGGGCGCACCTCTGAGAATTCGACGTCCGTCGGCCCTCTTTATCACCACGAGCTTTTGCCAATGCATGGGTTTCGATGTGTGTTTAGCGCTTCGGGGATTTTTCAAATTACCCAACAATTTATCACCCATCGTTAAAGAACATTTTTACTGCAGAGAAACATTATTTCAACACCCTTTAACAGTTATTTATCACTATCATATTTTTATCCGCCGAGATTTTTCCGGATTGATGATTAGTTTTCAGTTATCTTCCAATTTATCATTTTTTACCGTATTATTGAATTTGAATGTATGAGGAATGAGCGCACAGAGGCCATCCGAGGCGGTCATGGCGGCCGTCGGCGTGTCAAATCATTAACGTTTCTTGTAACGTGAGAACTTTACCCCGTCAATTCTCTCTTGGAAATAACAACATGCACGTTAATTAGATTTTTTAAGTGACGACGTGGTAGTAGATGCGTCAGGTCACGTCGATGTCGAACTAGAAACTGATTTTGCCCTCGGAATTCCACCCAAGTGTTCAAAAAAAAGGGGGAAACGGGAGAAAAAAAAATTTCGAGGACCATGAAGAGTCGTTATAACGCGGCCTTGGATCTGCATTAGTCCCGGCTAGTGTTCAGTTGGGGAGAAAAAAATTGGAGTATTGACGGAAGATATTCTTTGCGGCAATAATGGCCGTGTGTTTCAAGGATGCCGATGGGATACCTTTGAAATTTTTTTTCCCCCATCACTCCAACGCTCGGGGATTTCACCGGCGGGTTGTTTTTTAAAGCTGAAAAAATCCCATAGACAACAATTTTCATCCTCATCAAATGGAGAATATTGTAGATTCATTTGAAATACCATTGCATCTACCATTTTCATTTCTCCACGCTGACAGACGCATGTAGAAAAAACTGGACAATACTGAAGAGTCGGAAGGACTGGCCTTGAGAATTTATCGCACCCATCGTTGACGAATCCAAGAAAAAAATTGGAGTATTGCCGGAAGAACCCCCTCGCGGCCAGGGTAAACGCCATTCCGAGACCCAACAGTGGGTCCTCAATGACCTTCGGGGATCGTCTACAAAAGAATCATTATGTGGCATTTTCCAGTGTTTACTGTGTAGTCACATGTACTGGAATCCCATGAAAGGTTTTTAAACACCTCCCATTATTGAAAAATCGAAAAGAAAGAAAATAATGGAAAAAATGAGGGAATACCAAGTGAGAAAAAAAGGCAAATGTGCACAGTTCATTGATTCGTAAAAAAAGATACGGAATGATTTGGTCGTGCCATGCTGATATCACGGGCCCGTGACTTTGATGGCAGGCCGTCGTGCCAACGATAAGGGGTTGTTTCTTCCCGTCGGGCAGATATACCCACGCCTGGAAAACTACTGCTCATCCCGTCGGCAAGCTTCGGTCTCTTGTCATTCAGAAAACCAATGGTCTCTTCTTCCCCAGCGATGATATAAATCCTCGGCCATAACGCGTCTCGTCGTCCCGACGACGCTACCCTCTAGATGGCGCCTAACCCCTCACGCTTCGTCTCCAACCCCTTTTCATCATCGTCCGAGTCTCGAGACCGCGTCTTATTTTGTACTTTATCCATTCCATTCTCCCCTCTTTCATCCCCTGACATTACCATGTTTTGACCACTTGGGGCTGACTCTCCTTGTCCTTTTTTATTCAATGAAAAATTTTCCATTTCAAGAGAATTTTTTTTTTAATAATCACTCAAATTCTTTCTTTTTCGAAAAATTCAGGTGCATATTCAATTATACCAATTATATCAATTAAAATCGGGCAATCACAAAGCTTCCATTCGGAAGAAAAAAGAAAAGGGCGCGAATGGGCGTTACCCAAAGATTTTTTCCAAGTCGAATGGATGAAAGGGGATAAAAAGAAAGCTTATCGGTGAATAGGGCATGCTAGGCACGCTCAGGTCGCTATGCGCTACGGCGCATACATTCTTGCCTCCGTAATATATACGACTTACGTCTACGTTGATGGAATATTTGAAAAATCGCAGCTTTGTGTATGATATAAAACTATGAAAAACATATCAACGTCTCATTTAAACGCCAGAGGGGCGTGTCTATATAACATTACCAATGTTTTTTAAATTTTGTTTTCCCATATTCCTACATGATATTTACATGGCAATTATTTTCTGATTTACAGGGTGACATCATTCTCACGTGTCTCATGCTCTGATAATACGCTATCTGCTGTGGAAGGTCTCCTTCATGAACAATTTCCTGCTACGTCCATCATTGCTGTTGTTTTCCGCTATTTGGAATTCTCGTAAAATCCACACATCGGTTTCCCATAATAATACAGGACATGGATAACTCGAATGTTTACCGTCAGTGCTTACACCCCAATAACATTTCAAGGTCAAAAATGTGAATTTAATGATTTGTAAAAATGGGAATTTATGTTTTGGGGATTTTCATGTATTCGTGTATCGCCCCTTTTATTCTTTGAAAATTAACCAAATCCTTGGCTCATCCATTACATGCTATAAAAGGGAGTGAATGAAACTGCCCCACCGAGCCGGAAACGTCACAGCTTATAAATTTCTCAAACCACCATGATGGAAGGAAGAGACGAGAAAAGGAAGATGGTCGACAAATCCGTGAATACAATTATTTACAATGTATATCAAAGGTTCATATCACTGCCTCTCAAAATTTCCCATTCACTTGGCACTAAAAGAGAATCTAGACAAGAAAATTATCGCAATGAGTGTGCGCGCTGAGAGGATATCATGGAAAAAAAAAAAGTGCTTTGGAAAGGTGCCTCAAAAAATGGTGAAAATCCAAAGAAAGGAAAAAGGTATGAAGATTAGAGTGCAGAAATAAGCGATGGGCGGAGAGTTGAGCAGAAGCTGGAGCAGAAGCTGGAGCAGAAGCTGGAGCGTGGGAGATTGAAGTGGAAGTGGAAGACTCAGCTCGTCAATAGCGTCTTTGGATACATGCGAAGGAAAGAAGAGTCTTGGTAGAAGGGAGATATGCCCTCGTAAAAGACGAAACCCCCTACAGTTGTTCGTCCTCTTCCTCCATTTCACCACCCTCAAAGAAAATACGAATTACGAAGTAGCTAGACGCCTCCACGATCCAGAGAATTCACCAGGAATCTTATTACACTACTTCACTGAATTTAATCAAAAATATTAATATATTCCCTCGTAAATTTATCCAGCTCCTTGTAAAATTTTGAATAAATACATTTTATATTCAAAAGGCTTGGCCATTCTATACTGTTGAGTAAACATTTCCAGTGTAATTTATATCTGTGAAGTATGTGTGAGATAAAGTACTCTGGCGAGTGTTTGCAAAACAACACACAGCCCCTAATATTTTCTATTCACCCCTTGAGGAGAATTAACTTTGGAGAACGTATAACACAGTCAAGCGAAAACCCCGATGCTGTGGTTTTCAACCCTTTCTCCCCCAGCGGATAAAACATATAACGCAGATCCGCCTTTCCCAAATGGCAATAACTCTCTCCACAGAGATGGAGAGGAAGAGGATGAGATTAAAGGCATCCGTGAACGAGAAATATACGAAAACGCAAAGTTTACCGAGAGCGGTAGAATGAACGGGAGGGCATAAACTCCCCTGTATTTAATTTACTGAATAATTGGAATCAAACCGGCTCATTTGTGTGCCGACTAGCCCATGGGGTAACTCTTTGTCCGTCCGTACCAAACCACCCAGCAATTTCCACTCGACTCCCCTTCCCACCTCTTTCCTTTTGCACTCCCCCTTTTCCCTCGTATCAACGTGAAGCACACGACATCCTGTGGGAGCTTGATGAGGAGATTTCTGCACCATCGTAAAAGCCAACCCACACCCAACCACCTCCCAACCATCTACCAACCCTCCGCCGATCCCATTCGACGCGCGCGCTCGCGCATTTCAACCCCTACCTACCCTACCTCTCGCCCTGTTACAACCCATCCCAAGCCCGCTGGGAGTGTTGAATAAAGATGGCGGGATAATGGAACCCATCCCACCGAGAAAAACAACAAAAAAAAAAATTCCCCATTATCTGTCCATGTCGCTCCACGCAATTCTCACTTTTACAATTTTCTCACCTTTTCCGTCACTTTTCTCCATCAGACACTCAAGTCTTGATCAATTCGAATAGATACTCTCATCCACGCTGGCTAATTCAAAAAGGAGTGAAAATTCAATGGAGTTGCCCATTGTCAACGAGAAGAGGAACGAGAGGAATAATCTGTAATGCGCATCGAGTTTCTAAATTGACATTTGAAATGCCCTTTTGAGGTAGAATATATATAGGACAGCCTAAGCGGACTGGGCTGAATAGTCAAGGGGAAGGGATGCCCAAGGAATCGCGGTATAGGTGTGAGGGGGGAGAAAGTGGGTGGGGAGGCGGAGGAATAGCGACTGGCGCAGGCGCTGGACGAAAATCGATGGCCGCTTGCCTTGGACCGCTACAGAAAGAAATAACGGAGATAAAACATCCAGAGAGACCAGTGCTCGCTTTTTCTCTCCTTTTTCTCTCCTTTTTCTCTCCTTTTTCTCTCCACAATTCAGGATTCATTTCATGAGGAGATGCAGAATCTACAATAAACTCTGATGGATATCGAATTTTTTATTCTCAGAAAGATAAGAAACATGTCGGCTTATTGAGGATGCTGTTTTTTTTTTTATTTCCTTGTGCCTTCAAGCTGAAGAACTGATGACCTTCTCAATTTCTCTGTACTTTATTCGCATCTTGAAATTTTTTCAACTCGAGTTAAAATTAATTTTCGAATCTCCCAGTGCCATAAAAAGTATTTCATGCATCTAATATTTATCGGTCGCATGTGTGGTGGGTGCAATTTACATTTTGAGGGGCTTCGGTACAAGGGTTATATGGCATGTGGAGTTTCACCCCTGCTGGTGGCGTTGTTACCCATGTACCTTTTCACATACTTGAAATAGCTTACGCAGGAGTTCAACCCACGCTGTGTACCTGATGACTGGTCATGTTGTGTAACCAACTTCAGACAGGGATATTCTGTGCATGGAAACCACTTGTCAGTATAGTCCGATAACACCAGCAGCTTTTCTGCTTTTCACTTTCATGTTCTCGGCTTCAGTCATGGCTCTCTGATCAACCATCTCTTCTTATGAAGAGCAGCTCCGAGAGAAAAAATAATAATAATCAAAAATATTCGGTGATTCGCATCCTGCAGCGACGGTACGGATGGAAAAGACATTTCGATGGTACCCATATGCCGGCTATATTGATTTACCCCAAATTGATCAATTGCATTATTGATGAATATGTGGACGTACAGCATTGTCAGCGTAATTAGCTCATGCTTGCTAAGTTATTACATATAAACAATTGATGAAGTATTTGAAAGGCCATTTGGGTGTGCCGAGGGCAGAACCAAATTGGTCTCCAACGTGTTTTGGTCGTAATCATTGTAATCAGTCAGATGAGATAGTTAAAGTAAACTCTCTTATTTAAATACCTATAAACTATGGGTAGGATTTATCCCTTCGAGCCTAGAACATGCAATAATCATAAGTGCCTTACTATTATAAAAAAGCAAGAATAAAAAATATTGCATATTTTAAAATGAAGAGTATTAGGATAGTGGAAAAAAAATTGACAAGTAGTTGGGCAGGTCAATAGTTGCCGGCAGCGCCGAGGTGATGGTTCAGCTGGTGGCTAATGGTCCAAGTTTGTCGTCGAGGAGTCGGTAGTCTCTGTTCATCCTACAGCATTCCTTCTTTACCATCAAAGGACCTTTTCTGAATTTCATTCCATCCACTGAAGATAAAATATCCGCGCAGGATTCTACAGTCTCGCTTGCGTGTTTTTCAAAGGCCCATAATCTCTCCGCAGAGTATACATTCAGATTTATTTACTGATGTTTAGTGAGCACTCAATCGATTTTATGAGGTACTTGTGGCTGTTTATAAGTTAAGTTTAAAGCAAATTTGATTTGTCGATGGTAACGTTATAGTTCATTTCGTTATTCACACCCGGTATTCCACTATTTTATTAAGTGTTTGATTTCTCGACATGTGAAAACGATGGAGTCCATTATCCATCCAGTACCAATGCCATCAAATGTTTGTACGTAAGTAAGATCTTATCGTTCAAGTCTCATAATAACGTTTGTTACCGTTTAGATTTATGAACAATAAACAGTGTAAATTATAACAATAAAATGTCTTTATATGCGATAGAATTTCTGTCTGGTAAGTACAGATCCCTGTGTTTATTGTACCCATCGTCGAAACTGTCAAGTCATTTGTGGTAAGTTGCGGGGCATTGCATGTCGGTAATAATGACATCTATAATATCAACGTAGGACCTTTGATGTCTCCATCTTTCCAAAAGTAAATCCGTCAATTTTAATAAAAAACAGCCAGTCAGCAACAATCATCATTATTAACGTAATTATTTCCATTGAGAAATCGAAATATTAATAAATAATTATCCAATTTATAAATTAATTTATGCATAATTTTGCCGTAGAGAATTTAAAATAGAATTCAAGTGAATGAAAAATTTTTGGAAAATGGAAAAATTCCTGAGGGAGAGATATATAGAGAGATGGACAAAAATGATGGAAATTATCTACATATGTATGAGAATGCGCGCGCACAGTTCCATGATGGCCGCTGGACTTGTCCCGGGGATTGAACGGTGGAAAAGGACTTGGGCGGAGAAATGAGGGGGATACCACCAGGGGAAAACCGGTCGAGATGCAGGAAGGGATGAGCGATTATGTTACTCAAACGCCATTGGCAGGATCTCCATGGGGCGAGGCTTCTCTCCAGTGTATTTGCGGCCATCATGGATTTCACTATGGCTCATATCCCTATACCCAATTTCTGTAAACTCCGATATTCCAAATGCTATTGATTTTTCGAAAATTCAATTTTACATTGCCATTCACCCTCAGCACCAACAGCTACTCGTTACGCTATCGCCACCCGCGAGCAATTAGACTGACAATTAAAATACGGTTATGATCCATTATTTGGTAATAATTACATCATCTTCTTGAACCACCGGCAATATTCGACGGAGACGGAGACTCAAATAGAAAATAATCTTTCAGGGATTGGTTGATAAGTACGGCCAACAGTTTACTCGGCGCTTTGAAACTTGTAAATCAACGAGTATTGACTCAACACCGGTAAATCATCATTGACTGACGGGTGTTTGAACCCGAGTCGTAGACAAACGTTCGGCTTTACCCCGTGTCTCAGCTCAAACACTTTCGATTTTTCTCCACTTTTTTTTTTTTTTCATTCCCGAAATCTCACGAGATCACCCCTGAATTTCACCTGTTGGTTCAACTACTACCTATTAACTGCATTTTCATTGCAAATTGCATAATCACATTGGCAATTCAATAAGGCCAATTGATAATTGCACACAAAGCGATTCTATAGCATTTTTATGCTCAGCACGCAAAGTAGAATAAAAACTTATTTGATTACGAGTCTACTATAGCCATGTTCACCGAATGGCAAAATATTTCGTGTAATGAGTGTACTCTGGAATTCATAATAATTAACGAGTGGACGTGATTTGCATACTTGATTGGCGAGCGACGGGATGAAAGCACGTGCGAAACTAAAATGAAATGAGCAAATAAGATGAATGAAAATGCCCGGCTATAGGTGTTTACGATTTGAAATTATAGGTATAGACTTTATGAAGCAAAACAAACACCCTTATAATGTACATACATCCACGCGTCACTCCAATAATTATTATACACCGCAATGATTCACCACAACGACACCGATTATCAGTGCATATTTTTGATATAAACATCACATGAGGATGATAACTGCTGTTTTACGCTCCTAAATAATCAATAAATTTCATTCAGATTTCAGTTATTTACTCGAAAACATGAATGAGCCATTTGTCGGCTCGAAGATGATGGGTTAAGTGACTATAAAGAAACAAATAAGTGTTCATAGTTATTTGAAATATCAATCAAAAAGGCGACTACTCAACAGTCATCATTAGAGTCGTTTGTTTTTATTGAATACTATCTCCATTCACGCCTCGTTTACGCTACAAAAAAATTATGAGAGTTCAAGTTCAGCGATCCCTCAATGTACGATATACCGTAATAATTTGAAGAGCTTTCGTCACTAAGCGGCTCATTTTTTTTTTTTGCAAGAACGCCAAGATTTAGGGGATTTTCCAACGAAAAATTGCCATTTCAATAAATAAATTGACTGGAGCCTATAATTCTATGCATAAAAATAAAACATACCTTTCAATTGAGTGAGTAAGCAGTGGGCAGGTGATAATGGTTGATAATCTTGTGATAATTGTTATTCAGTCTTGATATTATCATTAATTTCACGTTTGTCGTATTTAACCGAGTAAAAACATATCACCAAATATATTCATCACATACTATTTTTTCACAGTGCGATTAAAAGTTTTAAAATCCATGGTGCACTAAACAGCCAATAAACTCGTTCCCCCAGAAACCATAAACGAAAAAAAAAAAATTCACTTCTTTAGTAGCTCTCATATTGTCCCTCTTATTATTATTATTATTATCATTAGCGGGTAAATATAAATGAGGAGAGAGTGGAGTTGTAGTTTTGGTGAGAAGGTGACTGATTTGAGGCGGTCACGAGGTGATGTCGATACCGCGTGCGTGCCGCCAACAATGTACACGATGAATACTTCGAGAGGGCATAACAATGGAAGATGTTGGATTCATGGTATGACGATGGGACGAGCCCAGTACTGGACACCGTCGGGTTGTTGGGTGTTTGCGGTGATGCCTCACATCCCCTTTGCCCCTCTGAAAATCGTCAGCTACTCGTTGCCGATATACACGCACACTTGATTTTTTTTTTCACTCACTTTTTCTTGGAGCTACTCACCCACCCACGCCAATGTGTATTCCCGAGTCAAAGCCCCTCCACCAGTCACAATCCACCAACGTCAACCAACCACCAATCAACGCACGTCCCCCCGCCTAATCTCCTCCCCTCCCCGATCTCCTCCCATCCCCACTACTCCGTCTGACAATACTACACTACTACTTGCACTGCACCACATGTGGAGGACTCAATTCCGATACTACTACTGCCCAATCCAAATTTTATCCTTTTTATCCATATTAAAATTATACACGAACATGGAATAATTATATACCGTGATATATATGCCAATTGTATCCCAATATATGTCGGATAACATAAATAATATAAAAGAAAAATATTTTTGGAAATTAGATTAATAAGAGCAGGTAAATACTGGTCATGTCTGCGTGTAATTCGCAGTCTAGTATTATTGATGATAATTAATTAAGATTACTATCTTGGAAAAATAAAAAAATTACCATTGTATATCCAATCGGAAAATTATTCACATATATCTGTACCTTTTGCACTGAAATCCTCCTTTGATTTTTATTAATGCTCTGACAACTCATTCTGATTTTTTTATGTCGCAGTTAATGGGTCTAAACCTCGCGGTGAAATCGAGGGACTGAATTAAAGCATCAGCCCTCCACGATCTTCCAAAAAATTGAGCAATTATAATATCTCCTCTCATTTTACAGAACAATAGGTTTTCAAATATTTTAAATGGTCCCAAATTTAGTGATTTCGAAAGAATATTTTTTATGCGTGTGGCACAGCTTCCGGATTGCGAGAGAATTTTATGGAGCTGTTAAAAAAAAATCATCGAAAATGTGTCTCTGACGAAATATGAGGACCTACAGGAACATCCGGCCGAACAGCACCGAAAATTCCAAACACCCCTGGAAATTAATTTTTATGGCTTTGGTAACAATAAAAACAATAAATCATTAGGTCGACGGAGACTTACATAAAGAATTTATTTAGTGCGAGTGTAAGCATTTTGTGATGGGCAAAGGGTTACAGTGCAAAAATAAAATGGTCGTCGACTTTTTTGTGGGACAAAGTATCCGATAGAACGAAATATCTCTTCCAATTGCTCCGAAACTATCATGAGTCGCGTGTAAAAGGATTTTATAGGTATAATCAAGAGGATCGCGAAACCAGGGCGATTGAGGTGGGTCATTCTGTCGTTTACTCGGCGTTTCTCCATAGAACAAGGTGCGATTTCCACGACTTTTTCTTTCATTTGTGTATTATGGCAGCTATAGGGTTTCACTTCAAGACATTTAACATTTGCATGCAGATTTCGTATTATTTGTTAAATGCAATATTAATTTTTATTTGCGGACTTGCGGCATTGGCACAGAGGAAAGGTTAAAAGGGAGGAGGTGGGAGGGATTGGAGCCCTTGTAGAATGACGACGACGAGCGACGGAATCGATCGTTGCGAGAGCTCGAAAGCAAGCGAGCGACCCGGGCCGGTTTTCACCGGGGAAACCTTCCCACATCCCGCACTCTGCCCTCCACGCCCATACAAAAAATATTCTCCAATTTAATTCAATCCCACCATATGATTTTACCCTATAAAAGTCCTAAGATAAATTCACCGGCGATTTTCTGATTAACTTTGCGAGATCAGGGTACTACACACCCATCTACTCCGGAATTACCTCATATTTAGTTGTTGATGGGTACCAGTAAAAATTGTTTGGTTGCGCTCTATCTCCCATTGCTTGCTGAATTACGCGATAAAAATTCTCGTACACTGTTGGAATTTCCTTTATGACAGCTGGTACGATCAACTCACATAGGCAAACTGACTAGTATCAAAATCCGCAAAATGTGCAAAATCATCGTCTCAACACTCCTCGACCTTGAAAATTACCCGGATATTTCCCACCAATTTTCCCGCCTATCTGATGTTCATTCATATTCATTTATTATGATAGCATTCATATTTATTCACTCTTATTTTTATATTTTGCCATTCAAAACGGGATTAATCCCAGTAGACGATTATTCTACAACTTGAGGTGACAAACATATCATTGCATAGAGAAACCGTATCCATCAAAGGAGCAATACACTCGTAACCTCCAGCGACCTAGAGTCGTTGTTATATTTATCGGGACACTCAAATACAACTTTATGATCTATTAAACACCACGTCAAAACACTTGCCGTCGATCCGGAAACACTGGAAGACGAGACCTTTCCGATCAGTCTCCAATTTTCAATACGTCTCCTTTGCAAATCTACGTCTTACCACGTTGGCAGCAAAAAATTGCACTACCGAGTCGTGAAAATAAATATTCAAATGTATCACTCACTTCCATAATCGGAAACGACTATTTCAATTTATCTGCATGAGATGCTAAAGGATACTGTACACTCGGATAATGAGGAAAATATCAGTTACAGAATAAATTTTTTATTCTTAAATATAACTGTTGAAAATATTAAGAGACTTCTAAGAAAAGTATTGGTCAAATGGTGAAAACCTTCAAGACAATCCACAACTTCAAACAAAACGTATGCTGACTTTCCTATATCCGGCCTAGGTAAATTTTGAAGGAGACTAAACTCAATATACTGACTGTCCCTACTTTTTTTTTTTATCTTCTTTTGTGTCATCATTTAATTAACACGCGTGCGGTACAACCTGTTCGTTACCGTTACTCACGTGTGTCGACCGAGAAAAGAAACTTTATATGGATATCCGCCATGGATTTAACCGACACACGCGTATGAGCAAAAAAATAAACTACGAAAAAATATATACGACGGAAATGAATGCCAGTGTAACCTTCCCACCTGCTAATTAACACAATGACACTTTTTTAAATTATCACTTTCACTCTTACACTGCACTTGTTGACCCACCGATCTTTCTTCTAAGACTCATTCTTTTCATTTCATTTTATTGATAAATTATTTTCATTCAAATCATCCCCAACATTTAATTTTCGCCAAATGATATATTTTTATTTTACCATTATCCCCATTTTTTCTCCACCAACAACTTGGAAAATTAAAAATCATTGACTTTTGGAAAATCATGGTTAATTCGCCAATTAATGATTGTGCGAAATTGGAAAAGAAGAACATGTGGTTGGAAGCACATTCTCCTCTCGACTCGATCAGTGTGCGGTCTGAAGATGGTCTGAGAATTAGGATCTTGGGTTGCAGCAAATTGCTTCTGTACCTCTAGGTATCTATTTTTTTTTCTATATCATCATTCCGTCTTTCCCTTGGTTTTTCTCAAACATACGGAAAAGCTTGAGAGGAGAGATACAATGGGGACTGCGGTCAAGATGTTGCCGGAAATATTGTCCCGCACTGGAACCAATTGTCCGTCGGTAGTAAAGTGGTAAAGAAATAAGAGCCCTAAAAGTAGAAATCTGGGTTAAAGCCTTGGAGTTTTGGCCTTGGTGACCTGCCAAAAATCCAAACAGACTTCTATTTCCGTGTTTTTGACAAAAAAAAAATTTTTTAGAGTAAAATATCTTCTCGGGAATCTCGATGCTTCTACTAAAAAGTGAAATCGTGGGGGTGCGGCAATCCATTCGATTTCACTCCATATTTTCGTTGTGTTTTTTTTTTCTTGTTCAATTTACGTCGACATTCCGTGTGCTGGTGCCCCTATTGACGCCTGGGAGTTATTTGATAAAAATCGAAATACAGAAACACGACAAATTTTATGGTGTGAGGCACTCAACTTTTTCAATTTTACTACTTGTTGTCTGATAATGAAATCATGACGTCGAATTGATGTGCAACATAATATGTTAGGAGGAAGAAAAACAATTCCTCCTGGAAAAATAAAAGGAAAATACTCTACCAAAGACAATATCGATACTAATTCCACTGGATTGAGAAACACATCCTTTTCTGGAGATAAAACTGTATTTTATCTATGGTAATTTGAATCCAGTTACGATATACTCTTGGCCAATTTAATCCTGTTATGGAGCATCGTGTTCACGAGCAACGATCGACATCCGAATGCCGTTAGCTTGATCTTCGGTTGTATATGGGCCATTTCATCAATTATCGGACAGAAATCTAGCTTTAAAATTCTCGAACATGTTTACTTCCCAATTTCATAGGACATGAAAAAAAAAATTTCAAATCGAGCTGTCGCACACCACAAATCTTATCCCTCCCAAGTCACTCAATTATCTAATTAATTATAATTCAATTAACTAATAGAAATTGCATAGAGTTAGGTTAGATGTATTTTGAGTTACTGATAAGACAAATGTTGCATCAGAACAACAATTTCACCTGACGACAAGCCATGATGATAAAACATTGAAAAAAATGATGCACGCACTTATTTTATTATCACTAACACGATTTGATTACCTTTTCACAAATTGCAAATCGAACTGGAACTCACACTATACTGCAGCAATCGACATGGCGGATACCGAAATCCCACTGTCATGTACTCAATATGTACTGCTTAAATCTTATGTATTTCCATAAAAATGACGTAGTTCTTTGGTATGAAAAAAAAAAAATAACGCGAATGTGACGAAAAAAAAAACACTGTAATAAAGATTATTCAGCCGAAGAAAACTACCGTCCAACGCTCATATTTCATTTTTTTATTCCGAATGTTCACATTTTCTGAGTAATAGTCGAAGAAAAACAATAACTTCACGTACGGAATTATGTTTTCGGAATAATTACTACCCGACATTTGTCAGCACCTCTTAATTACCAAAAAGAAGAGAATATATATATCTATATGATTGACACTTATTGTCCACTAAAAATAGATAGATGGTACTCACCCTAATTTCCAGAATTCATCCAGTTGGTCTCATTCCGTGATGTTTAGACGGTTGATATAGAGCAGATACTCTTGCAGACGATCATCGAAACACCGACAAAGAAATGGAAAAAAAAATCAAGACTTCCAAGACATGGGTGAGACGGTAGAGCAA